TAATGCTTCTGAAATCATGATTCCTATAATCAATCAGGATTAACAACTAAAATTATATTAATAATTATAACCAATGTGTATGTCGACGAAATGAACTGTCGATGAAATGTGTGTCGACGAAATTATTGTCGACGAAGTGATTGTCGATGAAGTGAATCAGACCTATTTATTTCCTATTAATAGTATAATAAACTAATTTTAAATATGATTAATTTAACAACATGCCAGATCTAAACTTCTAAAGCAAAAAGGGTCTGATTCATTTCATCGACAATCACTTCGTCGACACACATTTCATCGACAACTCATTTCGTCAATAGTTCATTTCGTCGACAATTCATATACACTACCCTCCAAAAAGTATCTGGACGAGATTTTTTAATATTTATGCAAAATGCCACATAACAAGATTTATATCATATATGGATTAGGTTTTGGAAACTCTACATACAAAATCTCATTTTACTATCTTTCTTTTATGACTTTTAGTTAAAAAAAAACGAACACCAAATAAATCACAAGGATTATCTTTGTGATTTTTTAAAAATTTTACGTTTCTAAAAATTTTATATTATAAAAATTTAATAAAAATTTTGATAGTTTCTAGTTTAGGTTCTCATAAATAGATGGCTAAAACTTTATGTTCTTGTCACGCGTGAAAGTTATTATAAATAAACTGATACCAATAAATTTGATTAGATCAAAAAAAGTTTTCACGATTTTTAATTAACTGAAACTGAGCGAGGAAAACTTTAGATCTAAGAATAGGTGGTAGTTCTCTTGTAAAAATCGCAAAGACACTTAATATTCCAAAGTCTACAGTTCATGACACTATCAAACATTATCAGAATGTAGAAATTTTAAAAAGTGCACCAAGAAGTGGTCGTCTAAAAAAACACAACAGAGTTGGAGGTTGCAATGAAAGAAGAATGGTCTCAAATTCCTCAGAGTGTGCTATATAACCTTATTGAAAGTATACCAAGAAGAATTGAAGCATGAATTACTAATAACGAGTGACCAACAGAATACTAATTTTTTAAATAAAAAAAATTTTGACTGGTGTCTGTTTTTTTTTAACTAAAATCATAAAATAATGATAAAAAACGAAATTTTCCACATAGATTCGCTAAAACCTAAGCCATATATGCGTACTTTTGTTATGTGGCATTTTGCGTAATTATTAATCAACCTCGTCCATATACTTTTTGTAGGGTAGTGTAATTTACACTATTAAAAACAATAATTATTATAATCACCAAAATAGTCAGTGGCAATATCATCACAATCAAGGTTGGGTGCCGAAAGTATTTTGGAGGGTAGAAAGTATTTCGGCAAATGATAAGTACTTTTGCCGAAAGTGACGAAAGTGACGAAAGTGATGAAAGCGTCAAAAGCAGTAATCTTCCTTATTATTCTCATATATTTTTGCTTCTAAGGCAAATAATTTGTTATTGATTATCTCAACATTAAATTTATTATCCATAATGGGTGAAGAAGTCAAAATGATTGAATCAAAAAAGAAAATAATAAGGTGCAAAATGAGGAAGTGCTTATCATAAGGATGGTGGTGGTTGTCATCACTCTAGTTTGAAGTAAGTTTGTTGCTATTAATTTATAATTTATAATTTACAACAACATGAATATATAATATTAAAATTATTGATTGCTGCAGATGAGCTTGACCTCGAATCACTTTACAAATACACTATGAAATATTTTGTTAATGATAAAAAGGACTACATCAAAGAAAATCCAATCAAAATTCTTCAATTAATTTATTCAAACAGCAAATTCGACGAACTAAAGAATATTTGCTT